CAGCCTGTGTGAGATGTACAAACAGTAGATGGCACTACTCTAAATAGTTGCTCCGGTCAACTCACATCCTTAAAAGATTTTTGTCAAAATACAGTCAAAATGTGTTGACACCAGAGGTCCGAGCCAGTGTCCTCCCCCCCCCCCCCCCCCTTCCCAGCGAACGTCAAAAACTCCAGACTCCAAAACAGCTTGCATTTAACACAGTACACCCCAGTAATAAGCAAGACGTATTATTTCACCCAGCGATTCCTCTCAAACAGGTCCAAAATAAATAGAATTAAATCTCCCGGATCACTGCGGTTAGTTAGAAAAGGCCGAGCTCCAGGGCTCCGAGCAGCTTGTGTTGAGAAGGCACGATTAGCCGGCCCGCTGTTACACTGCTCAACCCAGTCTCATTTCATCCCAGCTCAGGGTTACATAAAGGGCAGGACTGCGTCTCAAAGCACATCGCCTGGCCCTCCTTTCCCAGACCGGCCAAGCGATGGGAAAACTACTTCAGGCACCGAGTGAGGAGGCCAGACTTCTAGTAATAATAATAACCCCGAACACTCGATACAGCGCCTGTCACACTGGGAGAACCTCTCAAACCGCCTCCCGGCATCTCGCTGTCAAGTGCGGGGACGGTTGGCAAACGAGGCTGTCCGACTCCCCTCGCGCAGCGACGTCCCACAAACACCCGTGACGTGAGGTGAAGTGAAGAGCGAGTTTTTTTTTAACTGGTGGTGGTGGGGTGGGGGGTGGGGGGTGGGAGGTGGGTGCTGCGGGATTATAATACTAATAATAATCCTCGCATTTGACCCAGTGCTTTATCACGCCGTTGAAACGTCTCAAAGCGCTTCACAGCATACACTGTAAAGTGTAGTGACTGCGTGTTTTGTGAGTCCCCACAAACAGCCGTAGAATGAGTGACCGTATGATTACTTTATTGGGGGATTATTTACCCCCGGAAAGCGATCCCCCAACCGACTAACAGCCGGGTTCCTACTGACTGCCGGTAACCAGAGGCTCTTTAAATCACAGGGATCTTTAACATCCGCCTGAACGGGAGCTCGGTTTCGCGTCTCTTCCGAAGGATGGGGTCTCCGACAACGCAACAGTCCCCCCACACCCCCCTCCCAGCACCACATCAGAGCATCAGCTCGGGCCACATGAGTTCCAAGTGGTGTGGGGGGGGGGGGGGGTGCGGTTGGGGCTTGAACCCACAAACCTTCTGACTCCCAAGCGAGAGTGCGATCCAGGCTGACACTCAGTGTCGTTAACACAGTCACAAACACCAGCGTGAGGTTTGCATTGAGGGTCAAAGGCTCCGTTCAACAAACGCATTCATTGCCCTGTCATGTCATGTCGGCCAATCTGCTGGGGGGGGGTCGGGGGGGATCCCTATTGAAGGTGGGTGGGTTTCCAGCAGCCGCTTATCATCACAACAATAATAATCCTCACGCGTGATACAGCGCCTGATCATGTCGTTGAGACGTCTCAAAGCGCTTCCCAGGATACGCTGCAAAGTGGAGTGACTGCGTATTTTGTGGGCGAAACGCGGCAGCCAACTGCGCACAGCAGCGTCCCGACCCCCCACAGACAGCCGTGGATCGAGTGACCACATTATTATTATTTTTCTTTGAAGGGGTTATTACCCCAGAAATGATGGGGAGAGAGATAGAGAGAGAGAGAGAGAGAGGGGGGAATGGGGTTAGAGTATTATTTTCTTTGAGGGATTATTACCCCCCCAGGAAAAGCGATCCATCAATCGACTAACAACCGGGTTCCCACGTACCGCGGGGCAAACAGAGCTGCGGAGTAAGGAAACTTGCCTAAGGCTTGGCCCTGACCCGGCCGGGAATCGACCCCAGGTCCCCTCGTTTGCGAGGCGAGCTCTCTAACCCGCTACGCAACGGGACGAAAGTGCGTCTCATACACCAGATATTACAGTAATTAATAGGATATGAAAGTACAGTTATCCCTTCACCGTGAGGCCCCGATGCTATGTGTTTTATAGCTCCTCCGCTACCCCAGAAAATCACATACAACAACCTTTCTCTTCACATGAAATGACACAGAGTTGCACAGAGGCTCAAACCCGTTCCTTATGAAAAGGTTACTGTGCTTTTTTTTTATTTGGTAATTAAACTTTTGTGCTTAGATCTACCTTTATGTGCGCGCGCGCGCGTGTGTGTGTGTGTGTGTGTGGAGGGAGGGAGGGAGGGAGGGAGGGGTGAGGGCGGAGGGGTGGTGGGGTGAGAACAGGAGGGTGCCAGCGATGGGGATTTGACAGGACATTAGTGTTTCAGTGGGGGAGCGAACCCCAGCACAGACACGATGGGGAGCGAGAGAGAGAGAGAGAGAGCAGGGAATGGGGTTAGAGAGCTCCAGTGGGGGAGCGAACCCCAGCACAGACACGATGGGGAGCGAGAGAGAGAGAGAGAGAGCAGGGAATGGGGTTAGAGTAGAGAGCTCCAGTGGGGAGCGAACCCCAGCACAGACACGATGGGGAGAGAGAGGGAGAGAGAGAGCAGGGAATGGGGTTAGAGAGCTCCAGTGGGGAGCGAGCCCCAGCACGAAGGAGAGCCCTGGCTCAGTACTCTACACATACACAGTCACTACATTCGCTTAGAATGGTACCGGTATTTACACTCCACACAAGTCCCTCCACCCCTCCGACTGCCCTCTATCCACCCCTTCACCTCGATTCCCTTACCCCCGCGCCCCCCCCCCCCCCCCCACCCAATGGATGTCATCATGTCTCTTGAACATGTTGATGCTTTCTGCTTCAATCATAGTTAAGACAGTGATCCCCTCGCGAAGAGTTTTTGAGGGGTTTCGACTTTATAGGGAATCAACACAATAACAATAATAATCCTTGCATTTGATACGGCGCGCAGCAGCGTCCCCAAATTATCGCTATTATTTTTTGGGGGGAGAAAGGATTACTACCCCCGGAAAAGCGACCAACAACCTACTTACTGCTGGTAAACCGAGGCGTGTGGTGTGGAGTAAGGAAACACGCCTAAGGTTGCACCCTGACCCGCCCGGGAATCGAACCCCTGGCTTGCGAGGCGAGTGTCTGACCACTGATCCCAATGGAACGCAAAGATCACCGTTCATTGTCTGCTCGTTGAAGCTCGGACCTCGGGGTGCGGAGGTCAGCGGGCAGCGAGGGGTGGTGGGGGGGGGGGGGAGAAGTCATCTCTCTGTGTCTCTATCATAAGGTTCAGAGACTGACTCCTGGCACTTGGACAATCGTGGAATAACAATGAAGGGGATTATGTGCAGGACTAAAGTCTCGCTTGTTGGGACGTCTCCTCAAGCGAGGCCACGAATAGATGATTCTGGAAGATTAGAGAGAGAGACACCAAGGAAAGGGAGATGTTACGTTCAATTTTCCAAACTACAGAGAGACCCGAGGACGTTTGAGATCCACATTCCTCCCGGACGTGATTATTATGTCTCCAACGTTCTTTCAAACTTATCAGAGAAACTCAGGAAAAGTTGCTGATAAGTGTATAGATTTTAGATAGCCCAGTCGCTCCTTTTGAACTGCGACTTGTACTGGATGTGTCTGAAGATATTGCAGTCTGGGACATTCATCCCTTCTCCCCTCCCGCCTCGACCACTCCAAAGCCCTCCTCGTCGGCCTCCCCAGGTCCACGATCCACCAAATCCACTTAATCCAGAACTCTGCCGCCCACGTACTCACCCGCACTAACCTCCGTACACCTCCCATCCCACCAGTCCTTGCCAGGCACCACTGGCTCCCTATCACACACACTGCACTCCCTCCGTCTGTTGGCCTGATGGCCCACAAAACACACAGTCACTCCACTTTACAGTATATTCTGGGAAGCGCTTTGAGACGTCTCAAAGACATGCTAAGGCGCTGTATCAAATTCAAGGATTATTATTATTTTTCAGTGCCTCAATAACCTTCTGCTTCACTCGATCGCGTTCTCCTAGCTTTGGCTTTCCAACGTGATCGCGACCCAGCACCGGATACCGACCTGAAGCTTGACGTACCATCCTCTTCCCATTGCTATTCACTCAGTCACCGACACGCTCTTCATTTACTGAGACCCAGTCATCTTCGGCGTATCCAAACCTCGGTTTCACTGCCTATTTCAGGCTCCAGCGACACACAGGGCCCTCGCACTCCGCCTGGAGTTTGCTCAGCCCCTTTGACGTGTAAAGATTATCCTTACCACAAAGTCCCAGGGAGTTGGGTGGGTTTATTGGCTGTAGAGGGGAGAGGTGAGATAGGTCTCCCTGGGCTGATGTATCTTGGAAGTGAGATGCTTTGCAGGTCTGTGGTTACTCCAAGGCTTGGGAGCATCGACTGTGTGACTCCAAGTCCTGACGTGGGGTCTTGAACCCACAATCGTCGGACTTAGAGGCGAGAGAGAGAGAGAGAGAGGGAGAGAGAGCGCTACCCATTGAGACACAAAAAAAGTATGTGTGGGTGGGGGTGGGGGAAAAGGAAAAAAAACAGCGACTTCTGACGACTTTTATTTGAAACTTGTTAAAACTTTGAAATAAAGGAAAAATAATTCAGAGAGATTTCGTTCGTTGGGACAGAATAAACAGAAAGACATTGACGCAGTGAACATAATAATAATAATCCTGGCATTTGACCCGGCGCCTTATCATGTCGTCGAGGATACGCTGTAAAGCGTGTATAAGTGTGCTTGTGAGTGCATGTGTGTGTGTGTGAGGGCGTGTGTGCGCGCATGCGTGTGCTGTGTGCGTGTGCGAATGTGTGTGTGTGTGTGTGTGCATGTGTGCCTTATCATGTCATTGAGACGTCTCAAAGCTTTTCACTTTAGACTGTAAAGTGGAGTGACTGTGTATTTTGTGGGTGAAACTGCTCAGTTAATTAATCCCCTCTATTTCTCCATAAAGATATAAATGTAATAAAATAAAATAACCCTCTGGCAAACACGCCCTGCCCCACCCCTCCCTTCCCCTCCCCACCCGTCCCCTCCCCACCCGTCCCCTTCCCCACCCTTCCCCTCGTCAAAACTTTTTTGCAGTTTTCGGCAACTTTCCAGCGTCGCTTTTTTTTTCGCCGCAGGTTTTCCTTTTTTTGACTGAATCCACTCGGGCTCGAGAGAAAGTCTCTTAAAAGGGGAGCAGCGCGCGGGAAATTAAATCGAAACCGTCTGCCTGTCGACAAATGTGTACCAGTTGAGGCCTTGATATGGTCGCCTCGCGTCCCCTTTAATTAATCAAACAAAGTTCTCGGTGCCCACAACTGCACTGCCAATTTGCAGCTATTTAATTTGGCTTTTGAGCAACGACAAGACGAGGCTATCAATTTTGCTGTCGGAAATTATCCCAGACATAAAAGAGGAGGATTGGGGATTTTTTTTAAAACTTAATTTTTTCGGTCAGCCCCGGTGTCTGACACATGCGGAAACCCATCGCCGTGCTTTAAGAGTCTCCGAAGAGTCTATCTAACCAGCTAAACCCGTCCAGGTTGCCCATCGAGAGCCCCGTCTGGCAAGATTTCACGCTGCTTGTCCAGCTCGGACCAGCCTACCTGTTCGGGTTACCCGTCACTCCACACTCACTCACAACACGTCAGTGCCGCCGTTAGCGATTGCAGGTTTACAAAAACGAAAGGCATTAACACACTTCCTGGAAAAAAATGGTGTCAAATGATCTTAAAATTTTACATTTAAAATTGGGTTAAAAATATCTTAAGAATTTGTTTTGCTCGAACGGTGAGAGGAAGAGATTGTGGTGTTTTGCGGGAAGGTGTTCCAGGTTTCCGTTGAGCAGGGTGTGGAATAACCCAGGAACCAGCGTAACAGGGATCACCTCTCTCTGTCTCTCTCTCTCTCTCTCTCTCTCTGCATCTGTCTCTCTCTCCCCTACAGTGTCCTGTGGTGTCACACTTCCCGCAGTTACAAACTTTCACCAGTTTTAAAATATAAAATCACCCGAAGATTCCTCTGCCTTTCCTTTTTCTCTGCTTGGCGACCGGACTCTCTGTCCTCGGGGAGACACCGGCCCCCGAAGCTGGACGTTTAGAGGGCGCCTGTGGGGGGAGAGAGGGGGGAGAACAAGCATTAGCGAGAGGCCGACAACAACAAATAACAGCAGCAACTGGCACTTATACAGGGCCCTTCGCACAAAGCAGCGTCTCAGAGCATCTGGCTAAATAACATGGCTTACGGTTTGGGTCGCAAGGAGGGCTTACCTGGGCAGGTGTGTTTACCTGGGCAGGTGTGGTTACCTGGGCAGGTGTGGTTACCTGGGCAGGTGTGGTTACCTGGGCAGGTGTGGTTACCTGGGCAGGTGTGTTTACCTGGGCAGGTGTGGTTACCTGGGCAGGTGTGGTTACCTGGGCAGGTGTGGTTACCTGGGCAGGTGTGGTTACCTGGGCAGGTGTGGTTACCTGGGCAGGTGGGCTTATAATAATAAGAGATATGAAGGGATATAACAATAATAATAATCCTTGCATGTAATACAGCGCCTTATCATGTCTTCGAGACGTCTCAAAGCGCTTCACAGGATACACTGTGAAGTGAATTGACTGTGTATTTTGTGGGCGAAACGCGGCAGCCGATTGCGCGCAGAGTATACACTCGCAAAGGAAAAACGTGCAGGGCTGCGGGGAAAGAGCGGGGGAGTGGGACTGGTTGGGTAGCTCTTTCAAAGAGCAGGCACAGGCACGATGGGCTGAATGGCCTCCTTCCGTGCTGGAGGGTTCTATGAAGTAGCCACTTACCTTGGGTTTAATTTCCGAATTCTCTCCAGGGGTCGATGTGACTGGTTCGGTCTCCTCTCGGGTTTCCGCAGGCAATTGGCCTCTCAGCTCAGAGTGTCCAGTCTTCCCGTCTCCTGTGAAATGGAGAGAAACACTAAGCATCAGAACTGACCCCCCGTCCCACCACCCCCGCTCCCCCTCCCCACCCCGAGACAGAGACTGGCACTGACAGACAGGCCACAAGCAACACCAGCAATAATAATAACCCTTGAATCTTGATACAGCGCCTTATCACATCGTTGAGATGTCTCGAAGCCCTTCACAGGAAATATAGTAAAGTGTAGTGACTGTGCATTTTGCAGGTGAAACGTAGCAGCCGATTGCGCACAGCGATGTCCCCACAAACAGTCGCGGATTGAAGTGGCCGATTTATTATTTGTTTGAAAGAATTTTTACCCTCGGAAAAGTGATCCGTCAATCAACCGACAACCGGATTCCTAGATATTTTGGGATGGGAGGGGTGGGGTGGGGGGTGGAGAGACAAACCTGGTTTGGGGTATAGTGTTGCAGAGGGCACTGTTATGTGCCTAACCCCCCACCCCGCCCACTCCCAGCTCGTTCTGCCTCGCCCACGCTCGCACTAAGCCACGAGACACAGACGTCAAAACAGTCTCAAAGTGCGAGCGCTCTCCAGCCCTGGGGGTGTTGGGTTTAATGTTCCCCATCCCTTCCATTAACAATCAACCCAGTGCTGATAAAGGCCTGGGATCCTGAACCCACACACACAGTCTCCTCCTCACTCCCAGGGATACAGACAGTTAATGATTACCCAACGTCAAACCCAGGCCCAGGGTATCAGAGAGAGATGTCACCTGCCGGGCGCTAACCTCACACTAAGACTGTGTGAGTGACTGAGCAGACCGTCCGGGGTAAATACCTAATAGAATATACAGTAAAACTGGCATAAGTCTGACCTGGGTAAATCGTCGTCCATCTGCCCAAGTCACGTTGAATTTCCTATTATTTGTATGTTTCGCGTAACTCATGCTTTGCACAAGTCATATTAAATGTACGGTCCCAACTGAGACAACTCATGTGAGGTTTCCTGTGTGTGTGTACATATATATATATACACATATTTACGACAACAATACATTGCATTCACACAACACCGTTCACGTTGGAAGGATGTCCCAGGGCGCTGGACAGTTAAGGATTTGTACCCGAGCTGAGGTTTGGAATCAATAGGGTTGGAGGGGAGGAGTGGGGGGTGGGAGTGAGGCCACATATGTACACACTTACATGCCCTACACACCAGCATGAGTGTACTAGAGTGTATGCGGCCAACCACGTATGTACATATATTCACCCACGTACACACAAACACACGCGGGAACACGTACACACACACACGCGCACGGGAACATGTACATGCACACACGTACCTACTTACCAGTGTTTCCCAGGGCTGCTCTCTGATTTGCCTCAGTCGCAGTTACGGCTGTGTAGAGCTGTTGAAGCTCAGAGCTGAACACACCGGCATCCTCCACCGTCACAGGCTCTGGCAGCCCCTGCGGGAGCAACAAAGGACACGGCAATGTGAGACACAACAACAACAACAACTGGCATTTATGTTAAGCACGTAACAATTTGGCAGACGAAGGAAGACCAAGGTCCGTCCAGTTTGCCTTCCACAATCCTGGCCGTCGCTTGACATGTCGTCCCAAACTACACGCTGTATTACCCACAGATATAATTTCACCAGGAAACAAACGGAAACACCCTGTCACCCCACTGCCTGCAATCTTCCTAAAAAACCCCATCAGCTGTGTGGCAGCCTGTCTGTCCTTCACCTGTTCACCTGTGTGTGTGTGTGTGTGTGAGTCTTTGCCTGTCCGCCTGTGTGTGTCCCCTGTGTGGACAGATGACGTCAGGAAAGACATTGGACACTCGGTGACTATTCGCCTGTGTCAGTCAGTCTGTGTGCGTGTGTGTGGGTACGCGCACAAATAATCATAATAATAATCACGTCATTTGATACAGCGCCTTATGATGTCTGTGGGTCACTGCTGTGACACTGTGAGACACTGCAATCGGCTGCCGCTTTACGCCACACAAAAACACAGTCACTGCACTTCACAGTGTATCCTGCGAAGCGCTTTGAGACGTCTCGATCACGTGACTGAGGCGCTGTGTCAAATGCCAGGATCGTTATCATTATTAAACACCTTCCCGATCGACCGGGCGTCAACCACAACAAATGACATCAGTCGAGGGCCTTTCGTCGGCCGGGCAGAGGGGCGTCCTGGGCTATGAGGGGTTAAAGCCCTCGTCCTATCTCGGGCTGTAATGCCGAGACCAGGTGCGAGAGCGTAAAAATGCCATAACCGATACGGCAGCTCAATAAACAGCAGCGTTTGGGGGAAGCAGATAACAGCAGTGATGGATCCCTGTAATTAGCTTTAATGCTCTCTCATTCCCTGAGCGCAGAGAGCAAAGTGTAGCAGATAGCGTCCAGGTTTCATCCCGTCAGCATTCCCCCTGTGAAACACCTGCGCGCTTAACCCCATCACTGCTGGCCCCGGACTGAATTTTCAGACGCCCGACACATCCAATCACTTCACTGACAACAACGTGTATTGCCCCACTCCCCCCCAGACCCCAGCAGGATAGTGTTCCAGAGCGCGTGACAATGGCGGAGCCTGACCCCGAGCCGGGGAGGGGGGGGGGTGGTGACCGTAGGCACTGGTCGAAGGGGAAGGTCTTAAGGCGCGACCTGAAGGTGGGGAAGGAGGGGGCGAGGCGGAGGGATTGAGGGAGAGAGCCACAGAGTTTCGGGGCGCAGTGGCTGAAAGCGTGGCCACCGATGGTGGAGCGGAGGGAACGAGGGACAAACAGGAGGCAGTAGCCAGTCGAGTGGAGGCAGCGGGTAGTGGGTTGGGGGGTGAGCAGGGAGGGAGGGAGGGAGGTGCCAGGGCGTGAAGGGATTTGGAGACGAGCGAGAGGACCTGGAAATCGAAATGGTATTCCTGAGGAGCTGGGAATAACACACGGAAACTGCAGGTGATCCTTGGCCTGGGAGAGATCAACAGACAAGAGACGGAGAGGATATTTAAAGCCCGGGTTGTTTTGCAGCCCAATAAAATATTTACCAACGCGGCTGGTGCTGTAAGATAAGGGCAGGTCGGATCTGCCAAGACATGTGGCTTCGGGGGTAGTCAAAATAATCATCATTATTATGGATTTCCAATGGTATTTGGGCCTTCGCTCTACTACGGTACCCACAACAACTCCAACACAGGAGTCAACGTATCATTAGGAGATTAACTAACAGTGGGACACAAGACAGGAAGATGTCATCGAGTTCAGGGTGTGTGTACAGGGAGTTCAGCCAGGACACGCAACAGCAACAAACTACAGTTACACGGAGCCTTTCACATCAGGAGGACGTCCCGAGGCGCTGGACAGTCAGGGATTTGGACCCGAGCTGGGGGTTGGGATCAGGAGGGGGTGGAGGGCGGGGAGGGTGGGGGTAGGAGGGTGACCAAAAGCACGGTCGAAGAGGAGGTTTTTGAGATGAGCCCTGAAGGAGGCGAGGGAGGGGGCGAGGGGAAGGGACTGTGGGATGGAGTTCCAGAGGGTGGGGGCAGAGAGGCTGAAGGCCTGACCGTTGATGGTGGGGGTGGGAGGCCGGGTGGGGGACGTGGAACAGGCCGGAGCCCAATGAGCGGAGGGAGTGGACAGGTTGATATAGGTCGCAGGTCACAGAGGTAGGGAGGAGTAAGGCCGTAGAGGCTTTGAAGGCAAGGACAAGGATTTTGAACTCAATCCTCTGGGGGATGGGGAGCAAATGACATTTGTATAGAGTCGCTCACATCGGGAGGACGTCCCGAGGCGCTGAAACCTCTGAGGTCGGCTAATACTGAGCTATCTCTCCAGCTCTGAATCCCTTATCCTTATGACTCTTGCACCTGATACAGATCTTCACCACATCTCAAAGTGGCTTCACAGGATTTTACTGTAAAGTCTGGTGACCGTGTAGTTTGTGGCCAACTCGGCAGCCAATTTGCGCACAGTGATGTCCCCGCCAACGGCCGCGAGGAGAATCAACATTTTTTTTCTGGGAGATTGTTGGCCAGGACAAGGGGAAAAACATCCCACCTGAAATGGGCGCAATTGACTGCCGCGTTTCACCCACAAAATACACAGTCACTCCACTTTACAGTATAGTCCGTGAAGCGTTTTGAGACGTCTCGAAGACGTAATCCGGCCCTGTGTCAAATGCAACGATTATTATTATTATTATTATTATTATTATTATTATTAACACCCCCAAAATTAGCAATTCTATAATTAACAAACCCTTTTCATCGAACGTTAAACACTTAATAATCAACCTTTGCATTTGATGCAGAGCCTCGTCACGCCTTTGAGAATATACTTTAAAGTGCAGTGACTGTGTATCCTGTGGGTGAAACGCGGCAGCCAATTGCGCACAGCAGCGTCCCCCGCAAACGGCCGTGGATCGAAGCGACCAAATTATTATTTATTTATTTCGTTTCGATGGGGTTCTTCCCCCCGGAAAAGCGATCCGGGTCCCCACTGACTGCTGGTAAACAGAGGCGTGCGTGCGTGTGTGTGTGCGTGTGCCTAAGGTTTCGCCCTGTCCTGACCCGCCCGGGAATCGAACCCGGGTCCTCTGGCTTGCGGGGCGAGTGTCTAATCTCGGTCGCGAAGGTCTCCCCCCTCTTTTCCCCCCCCACCCCTGCTCGGATTCCCCCTTAAAGGGGAGGTCACATCCACTTTCGCTCACGTCAACTTGTTTGTCCTATTAGCGCGCAATCAATGTGGCCGGGAAAGCCCAACACAAGAGAGCCTTTTATCTCGGGTTTTTTAAAAAAAAATCTAAAGGGCTGTTTCCAAGTCTCCCTCTCCCCCTCTCTCTCCCTCTCTCCCTCTCTCTCTCTCTTACCCGTTCTCCCTCAAAAAAAAATCATAAAGAAAATAAATCAAGCGTCCCACCTGAAATGGTACAGTAACAGACTGAGCCTCTTGTTTTCCCTTTCGCTACAGTATTTTTTCAGTGACGCTGCCTTTTTCCACTAGAGCGAGAGAGAGCGAGAGAGAGAGAGAGAGAAAAAAAATGCCCAAAGTGAATGTGGCTAATTATAATCTGCAGATGGAAATGATACGTCACTTCCCAGGGAACGAACACAATCACAGACAGAGTGGCGTATTCAGCTCGCTCGCCTTTAACTCCGTGCCTCGCTCCAAAAACTACTTTGCCGGTGAGAGCCAGCGGACGTCATAATAACCCCCGCCTTTGATCCCGAGCCCATCGAGTCAGAGCGGTTCAAAGGTAACCGGAGTGGAGTGCGGGGGCCGCCTATTTGTGGTACTCTATAATAATATTAATAATCCCCGCATTTGATACAGGGCCTTATCAGGTCGTTCGGAACGTCTCAAAGGTTCCTCGCAGGATATATTGTCAAGTGTGGTGACTGTGTATGCTGTGGGCGAAACGCGGCGGCCAACTGCGCACAGCGGCGTCCTCCACAAACAGCCGTGGATCGAGTGACCAAATTATTCTTTTTTTTTTAAAGGATTATTGCTTTCCAACGTGAAGCTTCAACCCATGAACTACTGACCCAGTGATGAGGTTACTGACTGACTGACTGACTGACTGAGCCTCAACCCTTTGCAAGGGGGAGTCCTGTAGCTCAGTGGTTAGAGCCCTCGCCTCGCAAGTGAGGACCCGGGTTCGATTCCCGGGCGATTCAGGGCGAAACCTTGGGCAAGTGTCCTTACTCCACACACACACACCTCTAGTTACCCACAGTATGAAGGAACAAGGCGTCTCAAAGTGCTTCACAGAGACTGATTGTAAAGTGTCGTGACTGTGCAGTTTGCAGGCAAAACGCGGCAGCAAATTAGTGCACAAACTTACAATGACCAATTTTATCTGGGAGATTGTTGGCCAGGGAGATGGGTGAGGGGGGGCGGAGAGAGAGAGAGAGAGAGAGAGAAGGGGTGAAAGAGAGAGACAGAGAGAGAATGAATGTGAGAGGAGAGGGAGAGAGAGAGAAGGGGAGAATGAATTCGAGAAGAGGGAGAAGAAAGGACAGGGAAAGAGAAAGAAGGCGGAAGGAGAGTGAGGCCTTGCAATGTGACTGACGGGCAATGTTATAAACAGACTTATCAACTGAGGGTAAGTAACAGTGGGTTATTTATCTAATGCTATCTCTGGCAGTCAGGCAAACCGCGCGTTCTAGTGAAGGTGTTTTATATCCTTCCCAATTAATAACCCAGCTATAAAACAACCCCTTATCTTAAGAGGTCTCAATCTCTCCCACGGTGTGAGTGAGGGTGACAGGCTGCTACAGGCGCAACCTATAAACCATTCTGTCACTCTGGAGATTCCAGAGGAAACTCCCCGTATTGTAGTGGTTAGAGCACCCGCCTCGCAAGCGAGAGGACCCGAGTTAGGTTCCCGGGCGGGCAGGGCAGGGCGTAAGTTTCCTTGCTCCACACGGACGCCTCTGTTTATCTGGCAGTAAGTAGGAACCCGGCT